AGGATATTATTAAACAGGAAAGGGTTCAGAAAAGATTTACCAGGATGTTGCTGGGAATGGAGGGTTTGAGTTATAAAAGGTAGGCTAGATAGGTTGGGACTTTTTTTTCCCCCCCCAACTGGAGCTTAGGAGGTTGAGGCATGACCCTGTAGAGGTTAAAATCATGAAGGGCATTGATAAGGAGAATAGCAAAGCTCTTTTCCTAAGGTGGGGGGGCGTTCAAAACAAGGGAGCACATTTTAAGGTGAGAGGAAAAAGATTTAAAAAGGACATGAGGAGCAACTTTTTTTAAAACATAGAGAGTGGATAGTGTATGGAATGAACTGCCGGAGGAAGTGATAGATGCAGGTACAGTTACAACATTTAAGACATTTGGACAGGTACATGGATAGGAAAGGTTTAGAGGGATATGGGCCAAACACAGGCAAATGGGACTAATTCAGTTCACAAAACCTGGTCGGCATGCCGTATGACTCTATTAAATGTGCCTTGAAAATATTTAAAGATTCTGAATCCACTAGGTTTTCAGGAAGGGAATTCCAAAGACTTCCAATCATCAGAAAAAAAATGTCCGAGACTAGGGTCCTGAACTTAAACGTGGAGGTGCCAGTGTTGGACTGGGGTGGACAAGGTCAGAAATCACATGACACCAGGTTATGGTCCAACAGGTTTATTTGAGATCACAAGCTTTCAAAGCACTGCCCCTTCAAATAAGCCTGTTGGAGACTTCACCTGACACAGGGACTGTGCTCTGAAACCTTGTGATTTCAAATAAACCTGTTGGTCTATAACCTGGTGTTGTGCGATTTCTGACCCTGAACTTAAAGAAAGCTAACTTTGATGGTATGAGGCATGCATTGGCTAGGATAAGCTGGCCAAGGATACTTAAGGGGTTGTCAGAAAATAGGCAATAGCAGACATTTAAAGAACACATGGATGAACTTCAAAAGTTGTACATCCCTGTTTGGCATAAGAATAAAACAGGGAAGACAGCTATCCATGGCTAACAAGGGAAATCAGGGACAGTGTTAAAGGCAAAGAGGAGGCATATAAATTGGCCAGAAAAAGCAGCAAACCCAAGGACTGGGAGAAATTTAAAATTCAGCAGAGGAGGACAAAGGGGTTAACTTGGAAGGGGAAAATAAAATATGAAAGTAAGCTTACAGAAAACATAAAAACTGACTTCAAACACTTCTATAGATATGTGAAGAGAAAAAGACTGGTGAAAACAAATGTGGATCCCTTACAGTTAGAATCTGGTGAATTCATAATAGACAACAAAGAGGTGGCAGATCGGTTGAACAAATATTTTGGATCTGTCTTCGCTAAAGAGAACACAAAATTGGGAAGGGGGCAGAGGAGATTTACTGGGATGTTGCCTGGTATGGAGGGAAGGTCTTACGAGGAAAGGCTGAGGGACTTGAGGCTGTTTTCGTTAGAGAGAAGAAGGTTAAGAGGTGACATAATAGAGACATACAAGATGATCAGAGAATTAGATAGGGTGGACAGTGGGAGCCTTTTTCCTCGGATGGTGATGGCTAGCACGAGGGGACATAGCTTTAAATTGAGGGGTGATAGATGTAGGACAGATGTCAGAGGTAGGTTCTTTACTCGGAGAGTAGTAAGGGCGTGGAATGCTCTGCCTGCAAAAGTAGTAGACTCGCCAACTTTAAGGGCATTTAAATGGTCATTGGATAAACATATGGATGATAATGGAATAGTTTAGGTCAGATGGGCTTCAGATTGGTTTCACAAGTCGGCGCAACATCGAGGGCCGAAGGGCCTGTACTGCGCTGTAATGTTCTATGTTCTACGTTCTATGCTAGAGGACAGAAGGTCAAGCCTTAAAGGAGGAACTGAAGGTAATCCTTATTAGTCAGGAAATGGTATTGGGGAAATTGACAGAATTAAAACCCATTAAGACCACAGAGTCGGATGCTCTGCATCCCACAGTGCTTAAGGAAGTGCTCCTACAAACAATGGATGCATTGGTGATCATTTTCCAATATTCTGTAGACTCTGGAAGAGTTCCAATGGCCTGAAGGGTGGCTAATGTAGCCTCACTCTTTAAAAAGGAGGGGGAGAGAATATAGAACATAGAACATATAAAAGTACAGCACAGTACAGTACAGGCCCTTCGGCCCATGATGTTGTGCCGAACTTTTACCCGAAACCCAAGGTCTATCTAACCTCTACCCCTACCCTTATACTATCATCCATATGCCTATCTAATAGCCACTTAAATGCCCCTAATGAGGCCGACTCCACTACCCTCTCCGGCAATGCATTCCATGCCCTGACCACTCTGAGTAAAGAACCTACCTCTGACATCTCCCCGATATCTACCTCCTTTCACTTTCAAACTATGTCCCTGCGTAAAAGCTACCTCCACCCTAGGAAAAAGTCTCTGGCTGCCTACTCTATCTATACCTCTGATCATTTTGTACACCTCTATCAAGTCACCTCTCATCCTTCGTCGTTCTAAAGAGAAAAGCCCTAGCTCTCTAAACCTTTCCTCGTAAGATCTTCCCTCCATTCCAGGCAACATCCTGGTAAATCTCTTCTGCACCTTTTCCAACGCTTCCACATCTTTTCTGTAATGAAGCAACCAGAACTGGACACAATACTCTAGATGTGGCCGAACCAGGCTTTTGTATAGCTGGGGCATAACTTCACGGCTCTTGAACTCAATCCCTCTATTAATGAAAGCTAACACACCATACGCCTTCTTAACAACTCTATCCACCTGGGTGGCAGCTTTCAGGGAACTGTGAACATGAACCCCAAGATCCCTCTGCTCCTCCACACTGCCAAGAATCTTTCCGTTAACCTTGTATTCTGCTTTCAAGTTTCTCCTTCCAAAATGAATCACCTCACACTTTTCAGGGTTAAACTCCATCTGCCACTTCTCAGGCCAGCTCTGCATTCTATCAATGTCCCTTTGTAACCTAGAACAGCTCTCCGCACTATCCACAACTTGACCCATCTTCATATCATCCGCGAACTTGCTAATCCACCCTTCCACTCCTTCATCCAAATCATTTACAAAAATCACAAATAGAAGAGGACCCAGAACAGATCCTTGTGGTACACCACTCGTAACTGAGCACCATGTTGAATATTTTCCGTCCACTACCACCCTTTGTCTTCTAAGGGTCAGCCAATTCTGAATCCAATCTGCCACGTCTCCCTCTATCCCATGCCTCCTTACCTTCTGCATGAGCCTACCATGGGGAACCTTATCAAACGCCTTACTTAAATCCATGTATACCACATCCACTGCTCTACCTTCATCCACGTGTTTGGTCACCTCTTCAAAGAATTCAACAAGGTTTGTGAGGCATGATCTACCCCTCAAATCCAAAATGAGGAATTGTCAGGCTAACTGGCCTATATCAGTGATGGGGAAAATGCTGCAATTATTAAGGGTGTAATAACAGAGCTTTTGAAAAGCAGGGATAGAATCAGTCTAAGTCAGCAAGGTTTCACTGAAGGGAAATCATGCTTGAGAAATCTTCTGGAAATTTTTGAGGATGTGACCAGTAGAATGGACAAGAGTGAATCAGCAGATGTTGTGTATCTGGACTTTCACAAGGCTTTTGACAAGGTCCCACACAAGAGATTAGTAAGGAAAATTAAAGCTCATGGTATTGGAGATAACGTATTGACGTGGAAAGAGAACTGGTTGGCAGACAAACAGCAGAAAGTTGGAATAAAAGGGTCCATTTCAGAGTGGTCGTCAGTGACACGTGGGGTACCACAGGGTTCAGTGCTGGGATCCCAGAATAAGGGGTAAGCCATTCAGGGCTGAGATGAGGAAGACTTTCTTCACTCAGAGTTCTGAACCTAGGGAATTCTCTCCCACAGGAAGCTGTTTGTGCCAGTTTGTTAGATATTTTCAAGAGGGAGCTGGATGTGGCCCTTGCAACTAAAGGGATCAAGGAGTATGGAGAGAAAGGAGTGGGATACTGGTGATGCAGGCTTGAAGGGTCAAATAGCCTGCTCCTGCACCTATTTTCTATGTTTCAAAGTTTCATCTGTGTGTTAAATGGGTGATCTCTATTTTTAAACTCGGACCCCTGGTTTTACAAAATGTAACATCCTTTTGACATCGACCTGGTCAAATTGCCTCAGGATCTTATGTTTCAATTAAGTCAGGACACAAGCCTGACCTTTCCACACAAGGCAATCCATTCGTTCCAGGTATTAGTCTCCTAAACTTTCCTGAACTGCTTCTAACATATTTAAACATATTAAAACCCTTCTTTAGGTATGGTGACCAGTACCGTATGCAATACTCCAGATGCAGTCTCACCAATGCCATGTGTAACTGAAGCAGAACCTCTCTTCTCTTGAATTCAATTCTCCTCACTACAAAACATAACATTCTATTAGCTTTCCTGATTGCTTGCTGTACCTGCATACTAACTGTTTGTGACTCATGCACTTGGATACCCAGATCTCTCTGCATCTCACTTTCTCACCATTTAGATAATATGCTTCTTTTATATTCTTTCGACCAACATGGACAATTCGTGCTTTTCCACATTGTATTCCATTTGCCAGATCTTTGTCCATCACTTAACCTATCTATATTCCTTACAAGATCCTTATGCCCTCTTAACATCTCATTTTCCTACTTTTGTGTCATCAGCAAATTTAGCTACCACATCTTTGGTCGCCTCACCCAAATCATTACTATAAATCGTTAAGAGCTTAAGGTCCCCAGCAAAAACCTGTGTGGCACAATACTCGGGACCATCCTGTCAACCTGAAAGAAAACATTTCTTCTCAATCTCTTCTTTCCATTATACAGCCAATCTTCTATCCATGTTAATGTGTTACCCCAAAACATGAGCTTTTATTTTCTGCAATAACGTACCTTATCAAAAGCCTTCTGGAAATCTAAGTATAATACATGCACTGGTTCCCTTTTATGTATAGCATAATTTACTTCTTCAAAGAACTCAAATAAATCATACAGGTGCATTATTTCTCACCTGCCCTTGTTGCTTCCGTTCCAACACTCATTCTGCTCTGTCACACCTGCTGAACTGTTATCACTGCACAAGCTATGTGGAAGGGTCGACCAAAACTTCTTTGCCTTCTTAAGTTTTTCTTTTACATCCGTCACCTAAGTTGTGAATAAGTTTCCGTTTAAAATAAGATTGATCATTGGAAATTTTGGTTTTATACAAATCTGTATAATAAAATGGAGCAAACAGTTTCATAGAGGCAAGGTCTTCATAGCTTTAGCACTTGTGCCTCATGAATCATCAACTCTGAACACTGTCAAGTTTAGGAATACCAACAGCAATAAATACAATTACATGCTCAAACGGATGACATGGTGAATCTCTCTGTGCAGGATCAATAAGTTACACCCTCTTGGTCAGTACAATGGACGGCTAATTGGTAATGAAGAATTTAGCTGATAATTTAAATGTCTGATGTATGTTTTTTGGAGCTAAGTGGAAGAGATGATCATTCTTCTGTTGGTTGAGGTGAAAGATGTCACCACTGGGAAATGGAATATTTTAATTGATTGGCACATCAATTATCACACAAGCACTCCATGAGTATCGCTAGTCAGACAAATGTGGGACACTGTAGATGCTGGAAGCCTGAAATAAAAACAGAAAATGGAGAAACGCAGCAGATCTGGCAGCAACTATGGAGAGAGGAACAGAGTTAATGTTTCAAGTTTGATATGATTCTCGTTCAGGAAAAAATTCTACGTCTATTCCAAAGTCCATGTGCTACATATATAATTTACACATTATTAACAAACACTAACCCTTGGGGAACATCAATGTCTATCATCCTCCAGTCTGAAAAACATTTACCATGACTCACTTTTATATTCTTAAACCAAAATTTATCCAAGTTGAACACTGAAAGAACTGTGGATGTTGGAAATCAAACAAAAACAGAAATTGCTGGAAAAGTTCAGCAGGTCTGGCAGCATCTGTGGAGAGAAATCACAGTTAACGTTTCAGGTTCAGTGACCCTTTAGAACTCCATTAATAAGTTGACACAGGCACTCCTGTTTCATGAGCCTCAACCTTGTAAACCAGCCTTTTGCGGTACTTCATCAAAAGCCTTCTTAAAAATTCATTTATACAACACCCTATGCATTTCTTTCATCAATCTTCTAGTCAATTACAATTAGCTTTTTAGAAATCCATGCTGGTTCTCCTGAATTAACAATCACCAAGTACCTGTTGATTTTTTTTTCCTTGAGTACTTTTTCTAAAACCTCACCCACCTCGGAGGTTAAACTGCTCAGCCTGTTGTTATTAGGAATAGCCTTAGTGTTAGGGTTAAACTGGGGCGTCAGCCATCTGGACAAGGTGAGTTAGCTACTTTAAGCATAGACAAATGTATAGAGATAACACAGTGTGGAGCTGGATGAACACAGCAGGCCAGGCAGCATCAGAGGAGCAGGAAAGCTGGCATTTCAGGTCGGGACCCTTCTTCAGAAATGGGGGAGGGGAAGGGGGCTCTGAAATAAATAGAGAGGGGGATTGGGCTGAGGAAGATAAATGGGATGGTAATAGGTGAGTGCAGATAGGTAGTGGTGGGGATTGGTCAGTGGAGGTGGGAGGGGCGGATAGGTGGGAGAGAAGACGGACAGGTCAAGGAGGCAGGGATGAGAGGGAAGGTTGGTCTTGGGATGAGGCCGGGGTTGGGGAGATTTTGAAGCTAGTAAAGTCCACATTGAAACCATTGGGTTGTAGGCTCCCAATGCGGAATATGAGGTGCTGCTCCTCCAGTTTCCGGGTGGCGTTGTTGTGACACTGGAGAAAGCCCAGGACGGACATGTTGTCCAGGGAGTGGGAGGGGGAGTTGAAGTGGTTCGCAACTGGAAGGTGTTGTCATTTGTCGTGAACCAAGCACAGGTGCTCTACAAAGCGGTCTCCAGCATCGGCAGTTCTTACTATCTCCGACAAATGTACTGAAGTTGGCTATCAATTTTCACCCGCCCATTCATTACCTCTATCTCGTTTTTATGCTCATATTAACAGAATATTCTCTTATAAACACCAGTTAAAGTGTTCATTAAGTATTCTAGCCTTACCCTGTTCCTTTAAACATATTATGGGTGACTTTAATCTTCAAATAGATTTAGAAAATCAAATTGGCATAAATAGCCATAGAGAAGAATTCGTAGAGCATATTCAGCAGTTTTCACAAATGATATGCTGTGGATCCAACCAGCAATCAGGCTATTTTGAATCTGCTAATGTGCAATGAGGCTGGTTTAATAAATAGTCTCAAGAGCCCCTAAGGAACAGTAACCATAACATGGCAGAACTTAGCATTCAGTCAGAGAGTGAGAAATTCAGGACAATTGTGCTATACTTAAATAAGGGAAATTATGTAACAATAAGGGCAGCATTGGTTGAAGTGGACTGGGAAAGAAGTTCAATAGAAAAGATGGCTGAGGAACAATGGCAGGTACTGAAGAAATAGTTTACTACTTACAAAGTTATATCCCAGTGAGGAAGGAAGATTTTAGGGAAGGGGCAAACTGACCAAGGTTAATCAAGGAAGTCCAGGGTAATATCAAATTGAAAGGGAAAAAAAGAATGCAAAGATTAATGACAAACCAAACAATTGGGAAACTTTGAAAAACTATTAAAGCACAATCAAAAATAATACAAGGAGAAAATAAACTATGAGAATAAACTAGCAAGTAATAACTTTAAATACATGAAAGAACAAGGTCAGGTGTCCGATCTCAGTGAGAGAGCATTTCGGTGATAGTGATCACAACTCCCGGACATTCACTATAGTCATGGAGAGGGATAGGAGCAGACGGTATGGGAAAATTGGGGAAGGGGAATTACAATGCTATTAGGCAAGAACTACAGAGCACCAACTGGGATCAGATGTTCTCAGGGAAATGCACTATAGAAATGTGGAGGTTGTTTAGGGAGTAGTTGCTAGAGGTACTGGATAGTTTGTCCCACTGAGGGAGGGAAAGGATGGTAAGGTGAAGGAATCTTGGATGGCAAGACATGTGGAACATCTAGTCAAGAGGAAGAAGGAAGCAAGGATCAAACAGAGTCTAGAGGTCTAAAAAGTAGCCAGGAAGGAACTGAAAAATGGACTTAGGAGAGCTAAAAGGGGGTATGAGAAAACCTTGGTGGGTAGGATCAAGGAAAACCTCAAGGCTTCCTATACTTATGTGAGGAACAAGAGAATGGCCAGAGAGTGAGGGTAGAGTCAATCAGGGATAGTGGAGGGAACTTGTGTGCCCAGTCAGAGGAGGTAGTGGAGGTCCTTAATGAATATGTTGTTTTAGTATTCTCCAATGAGAGGGACCTTGACGTTTGTGAGGACAGCATGAAACAGGCAGATACGCTCGAACAGGTTGTTGTTAAGAAGGAGCATGTGCTAGAAATTTTGAAAAACACGAGGAAAGATAAGTCCCCGGGGCCAGACGGGATATACCCAAGGTTACTATGGGAAGTCAGGGAAGAGATTGTTGCTCCTTTGGCGATGATCTTTGCATCCTCACTGTCCACTGGAGTAGTACCAGAAGATTGGAGGGTGGCAAATGCCATTCCCTTGTTCAAGAAAGGGAACAGGGATAATCCTGGAAACTACAGACAAGTCAGTCTTAGTTCTGTGGTGGGCAAATTATTGGAGAGGATTCTGAGAGATAGTATTTACAATTATTTGGAAAAGCACAGTTTGATTAGGAATAGTCAGCGTGGCTTTGAGGGTGGCAGGTCATGCCTCTCAAGCCTTATTGAATTCTTTGAGGATGTGACAAAACACATCGATGAAGGTAGAGCAGTGGATGTGGTGTACATTGATTTCAGCAAGGCATTTGATAAGGTTCCACATGGTAGGCTCATTCAGAAAGTAAGGAGGCATGGGATTCAGAGAAATTTGGCTGTCTGGATACAAAACTGGCTGTCCAATAGAAGACAGAAGGTGGGTGTAGATGGAAAGTATTCAGCCTGGAGCTCGGAGACCAGTTCCGCAGGGATCCGTTCTGGGACCTCTGCTCTTTGTGATCTTTATAAATGGCTTGGATGAGGAAGTGGAAGGGTGGGTTAGTAAGTTTGCCAATGACACGAAGGTTGGTAGAATTGTGGATAGCGTGGAGGGCTGTTGTAGGTTGCAACGGGACATTGACAGGATGCAGAGCTGGGCAAAGAAGTGGCAGATGGAATTCAACCAGGAAAAGTGTGAAGTGATTCATTTTGGAAGGTCAAATTTGAATGCAGAATACAGGGTTAATGGCAGGATTCTCAGCATTGTGGAGGAACAGAGGGTTCTTGGAGACCACGTCCATACATCCCTCAAAGTTGCCACCCAAGTTGATAGGGTTGTAAAGAAGGCGTATGGTGTGTTGGCTTTCATTGGCAGGGGAATTGAGTTTAACAGCCGTGAGGTTATGCTGCAGCTCTATAAAACTCTGGTTAGACCACACTCGCAATATTGTGTACAGTTCTGGTCACCTCATTACATGAAAGATGTGGAAGTTTTAGAGAAGTTGCAGAGGAGGTTTGCCAGGATGCTGCCTGGACTGGAAGGAAGGTCTTATGAGGAAAGGTTGAGGGACCTAGGGCATTTTCATTGGAGCGAAGAAGGATGAGAGGTGTACAAGATGATGACAGGCATAGATAGAGTGGATAGTCGGAGATTTTTTCCCAGGGTGGAAATGACTATTACGAGGGGGCATAATTTTAAGGTGATTGGAGGAAGGTATAGGGGAGATGTCAGAGGTAGGTTCTTCACACAGAGCGTGAGGTGTGTGTGGAATGCGCTGCCGGCAGTGGCAGTGGAGTCAGATGCTTTAGAGACTTTTAAGCAACTCTTGGATAGGCACATGGAGGATAGTAAAATGTAGGGTATGCAGGGTAGATTAATCTTAGTGGGATAATAGGTCGGCACAACATCATGGGCCGAAGGGCCTGTACTGTACTGTTCTATGTTCTATGTTCTAACAAGGAAATGGCAGAAAGTTAGATAAAAACTTTGCATCAGTCTTCATCGTAGAGGAAATTAATAGCATTACCGAAATAAGACATAATCAAAGTGCTAAAGTGGAGGTAGCAATAAATATAATTCCTATCATTCGAGAAAAAGTACTAGGGAAACTAATGAAGCTAA